ACATGATTATTAAACTGAATTCCTATCGCTGCACAAAGTAGCCCCACTTGGGGGCTACTTTGTGCAAGGTATGTTTTGACTTATTATTTGTAAATATTACATACAAATAATGCCAATATTGATCAAATTCACTCGTCTGAGTCCAGTTATGAATATAATATCGATAAATTTTACTAAAGTTTGAATTAACATAGTTTTTTTACATGTCAAAGTTCAAAAACTGCGAAATCCTGCACAAAGTAGCCCCGAATGACGGTAACCTGAGGTTAGATAGACGATTCGTAAAATTTCTTATAATTTTCTGCAACGCGGAAACTTATGTAATATTAGAATGTGGACTTCATATTTCCGAAAATACTTGAATATGGCTAGAAGTATCGGCCAAACACACGTTTAGAACATATATAACGCGAAAGCAAAGATGGGTATTTAAAATTTTTTTAATAACTTTGGCACAACGCGGGATTTATTTAAAACTTATTTAATATTAAAATACTAATATTAAAAATAACTAATATTCACTGATAAAATGAGAGAAAATTTTAAAAATGTCTCATTTAGTTCAAAGCATATAAAGCACTAATTTTGAAGGTGGACGATTTAAGAATTTTTTATAATTTTCTTCAACGTAATATTCTCTGAAACCTAGTTCATATTAAAATACGGACATCCTATTTCCAGAAAATACGTTTTGAAACATTTACAGAAAATTTTCAAAAAATTCTTATTTAGTAACAGCAAGCAAAAATAATATTTTTTTAGAGTTAATTATATATTTATAATTTAAAATATATTTACAGTTTAAAATATATTTTGAATTAAAAAAAATATATTATAATTAAGTCCAAAACTGCGTAGATTAGAAAACATAGAGATGGATACTACGATTTTATTTTTTCACAAGGAAGGTTTGAAACTTTTTTCAACATTTAAATATGTGCATCCACATATGTCTAGAAATATTTATAGAATTTTCTTTTAAAATTCTGATTTAGTCAAAACACGCAAAAACCAGATAATATGTAGCTTTATCGTAAAAGCGAATATATTTTGAAATTTTTTCATAAAAGCAGAGTTTATTTTTAACTTATTTCATATTAAAATATGGATTTCATATTTTCCAAAAATTCCCAAATATGCATAGAAATACTAAAAGAATATTTTTTTTTATAAAAAAAATCTAAATCCGTCCAGAACACTCTAAGACTCGAGCATTTATATGGTTCAAATACAAGGTTGCACATAATATTTAATTTTGTATAATATTTTGAACGTGGAATTTATTTAAAACATACTTTCCAAAAATACTTAATCTAGGGATCCCCTTGTCTTCTGGATTAGGTTCAAAATTACCAGACTACAGAATTGAACATTGGTAGTCAGAAACACAAAATTGAGCCAGCTGTTCAATGATGGTTAAATAAAATAAAATGTATGCACAGAAATATTTATACAAAACCTTTAAAAAAATTCTTATTCAGCAAAGGCAAGGCCATATAAAGTATTGATATAAGTTTGGACATTTTGTAATTTTTTTTCTTTAATTATCTGAAACGAGGATATCTTTAAAAACTTGGTTTATATTTAAATATGGGAATCATATTTTTTGAAAATATTAATATTTGTCAGGAAATATTTTTATAAATAAATTAAAAATGTTCAAATTTAGATCATAACCTGCAAAGAACAGAGAATACATAAATCGTTGACGATATTGTGAATATTTTATAAAGTGGATTCACTTGCAACTTGTTTCATATTAAAGTATGGGCAGCATATTCTTCGAAAATTCGAATGTGGTTAACCAGGAACACTTTGAGTCACCTTTTCGTATTTTCACTTACATATTCATTAATAAAAAATAAAATAAATTAAAAAAATAAGTGAACTTTCAACCAAATTAAATTTTAACTATTTTACAAATTATAATGAAGTAAACTTCACACTTTTATTTTTAAAGAAATTTCTCTTTATATTTTCAAAATTTAGGATTATCAAAAGCAACCCCTGCTCGGAGCATGATTGGACCTATCACTTACATTTGATTTAAAATTAAACACTTATGTTTTTTTGACACTTTTTATAAAAATGTATTACTCCGGAGCAAATTTTAAGGTAATATTTTAAAGTGTGAAGATAGTAGAAATTATTTAACATAAAAAAATTAAATGTATTGCAAAGCAAATTTTTTAATTTGCTATCAACTATTAGGTAAAATTTTCCTACGGTCCAATCATGCTCGGAGCATGATTGGACCTATCACTTACATTTGATTTAAAATTAAACACTTATGTTTTTTTGACACTTTTTATAAAAATGTATTACTCCGGAGCAAATTTTAAGGTAATATTTTAAAGTGTGAAGATAGTAGAAATTATTTAACATAAAAAAATTAAATGTATTGCAAAGCAAATTTTTTAATTTGCTATCAACTATTAGGTAAAATTTTCCTACGGTCCAATCATGCTCGGAGCATGATTGGACCTATCACTTACATTTGATTTAAAATTAAACACTTATGTTTTTTTGACACTTTTTATAAAAATGTATTACTCCGGAGCAAATTTTAAGGTAATATTTTAAAGTGTGAAGATAGTAGAAATTATTTAACATAAAAAAATTAAATGTATTGCAAAGCAAATTTTTTAATTTGCTATCAACTATTAGGTAAAATTTTCCTACGGTCCAATCATGCTCGGAGCATGATTGGACCTATCACTTACATTTGATTTAAAATTAAACACTTATGTTTTTTTGACACTTTTTATAAAAATGTATTACTCCGGAGCAAATTTTAAGGTAATATTTTAAAGTGTGAAGATAGTAGAAATTATTTAACATAAAAAAATTAAATGTATTGCAAAGCAAATTTTTTAATTTGCTATCAACTATTAGGTAAAATTTTCCTACGGTCCAATCATGCTCGGAGCATGATTGGACCTATCACTTACATTTGATTTAAAATTAAACACTTATGTTTTTTTGACACTTTTTATAAAAATGTATTACTCCGGAGCAAATTTTAAGGTAATATTTTAAAGTGTGAAGATAGTAGAAATTATTTAACATAAAAAAATTAAATGTATTGCAAAGCAAATTTTTTAATTTGCTATCAACTATTAGGTAAAATTTTCCTACGGTCCAATCATGCTCGGAGCATGATTGGACCTATCACTTACATTTGATTTAAAATTAAACACTTATGTTTTTTTGACACTTTTTATAAAAATGTATTACTCCGGAGCAAATTTTAAGGTAATATTTTAAAGTGTGAAGATAGTAGAAATTATTTAACATAAAAAAATTAAATGTATTGCAAAGCAAATTTTTTAATTTGCTATCAACTATTAGGTAAAATTTTCCTACGGTCCAATCANAAAAAAAAAAAAAAAAAAAAAAAAAAAAAAAAAAAAAAAAAAAAAAAAAAAAAACAGGCTGATTTAACGGCAAAGTGTATTTAATTATCCATAGTTTAGTTTACAATAAGATCTATTTCCATCAAATTTAATACTTTTGTACTACAATTTCTAAAAAAAGATACAATTCAGTAACAAAGTGTAAATTATTTTAAAATTTGAAACTAGAAGAAAAAATTTAACACACTGAAGAGTTTTTTAATGAACTATGAGGCTTGGTTCACACAATTGAAGATGAAGCGGAAAGAATGGTTTATATCTATATTTTTTACAAAAATTATGATTGGATTATTATCAGTTACACTTTGAGAATTATTACATTTTGGCTACTCAATAACATGGAAATGCGATCCCCCTCCCTGAGAGTTATTACATAGTGAAGATGGGCCGGATTGTGGACATACAATTCCTGTCCTTACGCAATTTTTTTTTTTTTTTTTTAAAATGAGAATCAGTTTTATGGACACAAACCATACCTCCCTTGACCCTATAAGTTTTTTCTTAAAAGTCGATAAAAAGAAGATCATTTCATTCATGAAATATGTAGTTATTATAATTTATGCATTGTCATTATATTTATGCATTATGGTGAAAACATGACTGCTGAGTGCTTACAAGAGATGTTTTAGTATACTTGAGTAAATTAGCTTTAAAGTTTTCGTCACCTTTTTGCATGCATATATATATATAAAATTTTTATTAAACTAATTTTTATTAACTAATGAATAAAAAAAATATTTCATTTAAATATGAAATCCAATATTGTGATTTATCTGAAGGTCAAGAGAAATTAAGAGTAGTAAATTAGAAGAAAAAATTCATTGCAGGTATCTCAAGAAATTCAATAACTTAATAAATGTAAAATACATGCTTGAGTATAAAAAATGACTATAAAAATTTCAATCATTAAAAGTCAACAGAATACTGATGAACTTTAATAATATAAAAACAAAACAGTATATATATATTACATAATTTATTTCATATAATAAAATATAAAATTCAATAATTTAACTAAGTTGTAGGATTTAGAGTTAATGTCCCCAACATTCCTTGTAGAGATTTCATTTGGGAATCATCACAAGATTGGTCCTGAAAAGTAAGCAATAAAATTATTTTAAAGCAAATGAATTAAAATTAATCATTGAAGCAAATAAAACTACAAAAGGTAAAAGAAAGGAACAGCACACAAAAGAAAAAGAAGATGTATGCTATTAATAATTTTTTTTAAAAATACAATTGGTGCAAATTATAGAGTTATCGAGTAACATAAAGACAAGCTGACATATTATACAATAGTGAAGGTTCAATTTTTATAGGCTATGCTGTAATTTAAAAATGTTAGGTTTGGCGTTCGCACAATGCATTGACTTGATCAGGTTACACTGAAAAGGACATTTAGAGAAATAGAGGGCTTTTATTCGTTTTGAGAAACATTAATAAAAAGAATTGAAAGACGCAAATGGAAAAGACACAGTGCAGAACGGTTCTTAAAGAAAGTGAACATCTTAATTTTCAGGAAGAATTGTAGAGCAAATTGAAAATATGTATCAAGTACTACTTTTGTGAGTGCTACTATGAAGTGCTATTATGAAGTGCTATTATTAAGTACTACTATGAAGTAACACATATTTAAATGTGCAGATAAGAATATAATTATTCATTTACAAAGGAAAAATAAAAGTCAAAATACTTCATTTACTTTTTAAATGAAAATTAAAGTTTGATATGATTAGAGATTTATAAAACAGAAAGAACTGACAAAAGCGTAAGGCTATTGCCATTTAAAACTATATCTTAAAATATTTTAAACTAACTTTATAGGAGTCATACTCAATCTCCATAAAATAGTTCTAAGGTATCAAATCGCAGTAACATAGTAAACTAATTAAGGCCATACAAAGATAGCTTTACAAACCATCAAAAAGTTTTGTTAAATAAAAAATTCTAAAAAAGATTAAGAACAATTTAAAAATATTTTTCTATAAAACTCAAAAATTTAACCCATAGCAAATCAAAAATCAATCTATATTTTTTCTCATTATAAAATTGCTAGAAAACACCCATTCCTTTTTCGTTAGCAAGCATTTCTTTGAGTTTTTAACATACATTCCAATTGTCCCTAAAAATTAAGCTCAATTCACACCAGAATGTAGAGAAATTGATGGTACAATAACAGGCTCTTGAGTTTCCACACAATAATAGCAAAATTTTTTTTCGCATCACAATGATTAGTAATGCTCACATTCTGACAGAACAGAATGGAAATAATGATAAACTTAAAAATGCAAGAACCTTATTTGGTATACAGGGTATTACTTTGGTATATTAGAAAACAAATGTTGTGTTCAGTAAGTTTTGGAAACCAATCTATTATTACAATTTTAGAGATTATTATTTATTGCCAGAATATTATTAATTCCCAGATTGGAATAGAATAACACTAATTTTACAGGATGGCAGCACTATTTACCCCTCAATTGGAAATTTTGCTAATTATAAACAAAAAAGTTACGTATAACAAAAGTGCATAAAAATTAAAACTGATGTTAACTTTGATTTGATTTAGCTATTTATATTGTTAACCCGTTTTCAGCCAAAAGTGAGTAAACACACCTTTTCAATAAATAGTTTTCTATAAACAGTGGAGTATATTAACTAATTTATTTCTTTGCTATTGCCAAGGGTTCCAAAAATAACTATAAAACATTAGTAATTCGAATGAAGTAAACACTTTCTGTTGAGAAATCTTCAAAATATGCTAGTTGCTTAATTTTAAACAGTTATTGAGAGATTCAACTTTTTGAAATTACATAAATAATTCCACTTTAAATCAATCATATTTAATGATAGGTTAAAACTGCAAGTTCTGTTAATAAAATAAAACAAATATCTCAAAAAAATTAGTGATCAACTAAATGGTTTGTCCATTGACTTGGTGGTGCATATACACACCATTTCATTTCTGAAATAAAGTACTATTGAAATATATAATATCAAAACACCACATATAAAAATTTCTATGCTTGACCTAAAATGGGTAAATAAGTCTACCATTTTTCATTCCACATTTAAAGTAACTAATTAAAGGCAAAAAGTTTGAACCCTAGTCTTAAATCTAATAATATAAATTTATCTGAATTTTTATTTAAACAAAAATAATTTTTAACAATTGTCATAATAAATTACAATACAATAAATTTTTTTTCTTTCTAATTCCTTCAATAAAACAAGAAAGATTGTATCTAAGAAAAACAAATACCTCATATTTTGTACTAATCTTTACAGCTGCCCATGATGCATATTTTAAATTTTCTTTTTTCTTCAAGGCAGGACACTTTGGAGATGCTGCTACATTACTTGCTGACTAAAAAAGTTGAAAACTAATATTACTCTATGAAATGCTAGCACTAAAATAATATTACACTGTGTTTTCATTAATCTGCTTTCACTCTCTCTGTCAGATGACAATGCAAGCTAAATACTTTTTCTAGCTGCTACAAGCAGAATTTATAGCTATGTTATTCCCAATGAGAGTTTTCCATCAATCATAAAATCAGACTACAAATTACAAACTCCCGGACAGACCAACTCAAATGTTAAGATACTAATTTTTGCACATGAAATAATTTTTGCGCACCTTTTTGTAATGAAAAAAAGAAGGTATTTTTCTGTTGTCTGGGTGCTAGAAGCAAGCAATGATAATATACATAAAAAAGAATAACTAATTTTTGCTTGGTAAACTCTTTACATGCAAACCTCTATTTTGATTATAGATAGACTTGGCGTTTAAAAAAAAATCGATTTAGGTTATTGGTCTTGTTTATATTTTTTTGATAAGACATAATCAAGCACATTAAATAGTTTAGTTTTCTTCTTTTTCAAGTTAATCGTATCACTTTGTATTATAGGCCCCACAGTAACCCCTTCCCTCTCGCCCCCGTGAAAATTTGAGGTTTCACCTTCTGTCTCTCGCTCGAGTGAAATTTCCGAGTTGGAGTGTTCAGTAGTAACGCGCCAATAAGAATCAAACTAATTCATTTCTTTTGCCTGGAAAACATTTTATTTCTCATTTTACACACCAGATGGCAGTACCAGGATATTTTTAAGGTAATTGTAGATAGTTAGTTTATTTTAAACTAGTTGTCAGCACTAATCAAATACGGGTATTTGTCAAAATAGGCACTTTTATGACTGTTTTCTTGTAAATTAACCGATTGTTAAGGGTTTAAACTGAGTTCTACATAACAAACAATCATAGAGGTTTAAAAAAAAAAAAAAGTTTGGCCAAAATTATATTAGACTTTTACCTTACACAACGAGGCAACTAATAAGAAAAAAATTAAAACGTAAAAGCATATGCCATTAATATTAAAAGAAGCCTGCCTTAAATAATACAAGTGCAAACTGAACAAAAATCCAAACAAAATTAAAATAAATACATAGTATGTTAAATCTACTTACCAAAAACAAACCATACAATGACCTCATATTTTGAGAATTCAATTTGATCGATTGTGCAAAGTAAGCTCTAGCTATTTCCATATTTTCAAAACCACCAATAGTAAACTGGATCTAAAATGGTAAAAGAAAATAATTTGTAACAATAATTTAATATTTATTTTAGTACAAATAAATTGATAACACTAGCATGATTGAATGACAGAATTTAATATTTAATAAGCCAAAAACACAGCGAAACAATTTGCCTAATATGTATGCATTTTGAATCGTAAAGTAAAGGATACATTTTTTGCTTCAAAACTATCATGAACACTAAAAATAACAGGAGGGTGTAACATTATGTGTTGAGGGTTAACATACTGTTCACAATTTTAAATAATTTTTTTTAGTTTATATTCTTTTTAATTAACTCTTATGAATTTCACCATTTTGTTATCTCAGTTAATTCCATCTTCAGTACTGATAAATTGATTTTTAATACAGCATTTTCCAAAAGTTCTTTCTTAACTTTAACAGAATTACAGTTTCTTATCCAATGGTATTTGATGATCAATTATTTTGTTGGTGATATTTGTGCACAATGTCTTGTTACTTAAAATTTACATTTCCTTATTATTATATACAAAATTATTTTATTGCTTTTTAAACATGCACCATATATCACATAGAAATCATTTAATATACACAATACAATGTACATAATGGTTCAGTTTTATAATCAGTTCTTTAAAAAAAATTATTGTTTAACACTCAATTACATTTTTATCGTTAATTGTTATTGTAATAAATTTCCGCCAGTGATTAGATCCACATCTAGGTATTAAGTAAAAAAATAGAGTATATCAAAAGTTCTGATTTTTTTAAAAACATTTTTAGAACCATAATGTAATCCCAATCTACAGCCAATAGCAAAAACATGGTTAACAAAATTAATTTTTGCAAACAGGCATACTCTTCAATGACTCTCCATAATAATTTAAAGGTAATAATGTTAATTGAAACATCTTCATTTGTTCTCAACAGAAAAACTTGAATGCAATGACAAGTTTTGTTCAAAAGTCAACACTATTAAATTAAAGAATACAAAATCAGAAAGCTGTCAAGATCCTGGTAAATTTTTTCTTAAATGACGATAGTGGATCAACTAATTTATTTACGCTAAACAACATACATTTAACCCAAGATGAAATTTATACAAATTATGGCTACTGTATTATCATTTCTGCATTCAAAAACTTATAACTCGGTCTGGTTGTCCCTGCATAAAATTTAAACTGCTTCAGCTATTAAATGCCTCATCTGGATTTAAAAATAAAAAATAAATAAATAAAAATTAAAAAAAAAACTTGGTAAAAAACACTTGAGTAAAGAAACAGTTGATAAATTTTACTTTCTTTTGATACATTTAGCACTATTTTTGATTAATTTTATCTCAGAAATTTCATTTTCCAAGAAAATTGTTAAGTGCATTGCAAAAAAACAGATAAGTTCAGTTTTTTCACTTAATACATTTTTGACTGCTAATATCATAGCTGTTGCAATAAGCACAAGAACTAAGCATAAATGCAACATCAGTCTTCTCTAGGGCAGTAAAAACAACATAAATATATTGCCCTCTATTTTACATTTTTTGGCTCTCACAGGGTTGCAACAGTAAAAAATGAACAAAAATAGTTGTTTTTAGTAGCCTCAAGCATGAAAATAGTTGCCTAAACAGGAGCAAAAATTTATCAAAAATAGTAGCCAAATAATTAAAATTGTAGCTTAATTGTCAAATACTATGATAAGGACTGGTTGATGTCAGAAATTTTAAATCGTGATACATCGTAAGTTAGACATCGCGATTTAGGATATGTTCAGAAATTACCTATGGGAAATCAATCAAAAATAAATAAAAAGGAATAAATCGATTACAAAAGAAAATATTAATTCTAAACGTATTCTACTACAATATCAATATCATTCCTTAATTTTTTCAATTAAAATAATAAAGAAGTCAAAGTAAAAGCAAACCCAAGATTTATTTCATTTTTCTTAAATTAAAAATGATTTAAGATATATTGGTTTAAAAATAATAATACAGTAACAAAATATTTTACATACGTGCATTAAAATTAAAAGAAAAAAAAACGAGAGTAGAAAACAAACCAAAAAAATGTTCACTTTAGAAAAAAAAAATATTTTTTTAAAATTATTTGTTGGAAAAAAAACCATGCTTTTGAAACATCATTAGACCCTCTTTTATTTAATTATTTAAAATAATATTAAGTAGTATTAACACAACTTTTTAACTATGGTCAAATTCTGTACTGAATAAATGTAAAAATATTTTTACTTATTTATTATTATTTTCGTTTTTGAAAATAAAATTGACTAAAGATTTATTTCTTTAAAAATGACAGTGACTATCTAACAAATTATAGAACAAACAAGTATTGAAAGAATTTTAATAAAATTAAAAAAAAAAAAATTAAGTACTAATGTAAAATTATTAAAAGCGTCCAAACATTACTGAACTCTTTATTTAATTTTTTTTTAAAAATTTGATTTTTAACTAATAGCCAAATTTTTTAAAACTTTGTTTTCAGTTTCTCAAAAATAAAAGCAAATTAAATAAAGGTAAGCTTTATTTTAATTTTTTTATAAATAAAAACAACTGAACATTTATTGGTTTAAAAATAATCAACAGTAGGTTTACGAAAAATAAGTATAAGTATAAAAATAACTTCGCTAAGAGTAAAAAAGTCTCTCAATAGTCGCCTATTCCTGAAAATAGTTGCTTTTTTTAAGCCTTTTCAGGCAAAAAAAGTCACCATAGTCGCCTAAGGTTGAAAATAGTAGCAAATAGTCGCATTTTAGTAACCTGTGGCAACCCTGCTCTCACTAGCATTTTGTGAACCCAAAACTCTCTTATAGCACCAAAAACCCCAATTGTCTACCTCTTACACAACTTAAGCTCTATCATGTATATAATATAAATTCATTTAATATACATACACAGAAAAGTAAAATTGTTGCAGCTATTCAATTGATGAAAGATTTAATGGTTGCAGTCAATAAATTCTGCCATCTAATTTCTTTTTTTTACAGTCTGTTTTCAACCTCCACCTCTAAAAACTTATTTTAGAGAATAAAATGTCTTTAAAAGTATAAAAGAAAATTATTTTGTAAGGGTAGATCTTCCAAAGAAACATTAACTCAAGTTAGCTGATTCTCCTTAATGTCCCATTATCAAAGTCTGCTTCTTTTTAATGCCATACTTAAAGAATAGGTATATAAAAAATATAAAAAGGTAAATTTAATTGTAAAATAATTGAATTGCTATTTAAAAGTCTACTAGCATAAAAAATAAATTAATTGTGTAACTAAAGTGAACAGTATTACACATTCAAAATTAGAATACTTACTTCTGCATATCGTTGATGATATAAATGATTGTGAGGATTATACAGAATTAATTCTTCTAAACAGAAAGCTGCTTTGCTGTAATCCTGCTCAGATAAATACAAATCAGCTAACTCCATCCATGCTTCATGATCACTCATGAATCTAAAGTAAAGAAATCCATTCTTATCACTAAAATCCAACTTAAAAATGAATTGCATTTCACCTAAATACAAAACTTACATAGTAATGTAATGTAATATGTAATATAGATACATTTATATATAGAATTGAGTTCAAAAGCAAAAGAATAGTTTGGTTTTCTAAAATTCATCGAACTTCACTGATTCACAAGTCAACTTTATTGATTAATCATCAATTTAATTTTATGTATTCTTCACTACTGGAAAAGCATTTTGTCTTTAATATCGTAAGAATGCGTGTGTTGAGCAGAGTCACATTTATTTTTCTCTCCACAGTCTGCTATGATTTTGTGTATGGCTAAACAATACTTTTCCTCTCTTTTAATTAAATTGCTTGCAACCATATTTATATTGATTTATAGCAAAAATTGTTATAGAAACAGCACTGTTAAAAAACCACTTTTTTAATAGTAAGGAAACATATCCAAAAGATGATTCAATTCTCCAATGGCTTTAAATAAACAAAGTTTTATTTCTATTTTAAATAACAAGGCAGTAAGATTTCAGCATGAGTACTTGAACATAGTGATTTTCAAACGGCGTTCCGTGTAACTCTAGATGACTCAAATTCAATAATAATCACTCAAAATTAATGGATTAGGATAATTTTATTCAAGCATCGTGTTCAGTGGTAAGTAGTGATGTAAACTGAAGAAAGGAAGTGTAGGAAAAAAAATAAATAATAAACTGTTTGCTCTCAGCGCCATCTGGTGTTATAAATCCTGATTGTAAAATTATTATTAACACTAGGGTTCTGTCAAAGGCTCGGAAGATGTGTCAAAAGATAGGAATGTTCTAAGCAGTTGTTTTTGAAACATGTAATTTAGTTTATATTCAATTAATAATCTATTATTTATTAAATATTTTCATTATTTTTTTTAGAAATTATTTAATAGAAAGGCTTGTGAAGTAAGAAAATTCAAAACGATGCTTTTTCTTATAACAATATCATAAATGAATTATAAAAAGGATATATGCATTTAAAAAAAATCTCAATAGCATTTCACATGGGATAAAACCAAATAATAACCAAATTAAAACAATCAAGAAGTATGTTTCTCTGATAACCATTAGCAATGTTTATTTTCTTCCTTTTTCATTTTAATTGAAACCATATTTCATTTACGCATGAACTAAAATCAAATTAAGAACTAGATCAGATACTGCTTGAAACTTGAGAATACAATTATCTAACATATAACCCAATTTTAAGACTAATATTGATAAAATGATATGATTAAGAAATTTTACTATTCATTCGTTCACGAATTTCTTTTAAAAATAATTAATAAAATTTAAATCATTACATGTTTTTAAAACAAGCAATTGCCTACAAATTTTATTCATTAAGTCCTGGTGTCCGTCGCCAAAGGAAGGTCAACCATTTAGGATTCCAGAGTAGAAAAAAATTGGAAACCGCTGCTTTAACACACCGATTTAATGCTATCTAATATTTCAAGGTGCAATTCAATATTTTTCTTTAATAAAACATCAAAATAATTTTTTTTGGACAACATACAGAAGAAAAATTTATGAAATACAGCTGACTGATAAAATTCTTACTTTTTTAGGTAGTCAGACAATTCTTTAATTGCTTCAGGAATTTTATTTTGGGCTTTCAGAACAGCAACTTTTCGCTTATAAATAACAGAATTAGCTTCATCATGTTGCAATATTGAGTCATACAGTTTGATTGCATCATCATATCTAAAGAAATATGAGACATTTTAAGAAGTTCAATACTGTTTCTACAGTTAACAAAAAAAGTATTTGATAATATTTAAATAATAATCATATCAATTTTCCATTATGAAACTTGCAAAAATTTTGCAAAGAATATTTCGAAATATGCCTACATATTTACTTTGTTATTATTCTCAACTGATTTAATTTTTATAAGTTTCTCTTTTTTCAGGGGGCATAGTGATAAATTTTCTAAGTGATTTTAAATTCTAAAATTATTTATAAAATAAATACCTTTTAAAAAAAAGCACCTTTAACTGTTTATTTTTTCATAATTTTCAGTTTAAATTATAGAAAAAGCTTTCAAATGATTAGGTTTGATAATAAAAAAATGATTAGGTTTATTGATCAAAAATTTTTTTAAATTCATTTAGTTACTTGATGAAAAAAATTTATGCTCAGAGATTGTCTTTTAGAATACCTTTAATTATTTTTTATTAACAATGAATTTTTCCCTTGTTTTGATAATGTGTGAGAGCTACTTTTTGAAATATATACATACAATAATATAGCAGGGGTCTGTCCAGAGATTTTGTGAAAGGAACGTTTTTGTAAAATTGTGAAAAAATTACTCGTAATTTGTGAATATAAAATAAACCTTAAGTCACATTCTTTCAACCAGGGTCCCCTTTTGTGAATTTGTGCAAATAGGGTCCGTTATTGCAAAAAAACTTTTTCAAGGAGTTTTTAAATTGTTAAGACATACAAGATTATGCTCAACACTATAAAATTATAAATAAAAAAATTAAATTTTAGAAAATAAACAGCAATTGCAGCTACTAAATTAGCAATACAACATATAAATATTTGGTATTTAACCTATACTGCTGAACGCAGAATATTCATTTCGGACGAATAAAGGAAGAAGCGTTACACCATAGAGAAAATTTAGTTTGTTTACATCTGTCTCCCCTCTTCCTGGGAAGGGTTTATTCGATTAACAAAACAATAATGAAGATAAACAAATTTGTGAAGGGTCCGATTAAAAGATAAATTATTTTGTGAAGAGTCCGCTAACGGACCCAAATTACTTCTAAACAGACCCCTGTATGGGAGGATAACTTAAAAATTGTTGAGGATCAAATTCAATTACAACAAAACATTTGATACATTTTTGTGGTGTTAAATGTATGCCCCCCCAAAACTCAAGGTGCTCTTTTCTGCGAGGAAGCGCCCTATCCTTCTTTTGTCCTAGGAAGAACTCAGCACTTATTAACATATATTACATGAAAATAACAAATTGATACCTTTCAAGAGCCTCAAATTCCATAGCTTGCAACTTTCGAACCCTAAGGCTACCAGGAAATTGCTGATCCAAGCTTTGTAAGCAATCCTTTAATAACAAAATTAGAAAACATGAAAATCAAAAATAAGTTTGCTTTGTAACACAAGATCATATAACAAACATATATTCATTTAAAAAATTTATATTTGAAAACCATTCAACTTTTATCTTTAAAATATATATATTTATTTCAAAAGTCAATAATTAGAAAAAATATAATGACCTCAGCTATTTAATAGTTTGGGAGCAATTGTATTTAGATAATTTATCATTACAGGTATTACAGGGTGCGTAGCCAAATAATTTAACAAAAAATAAGCACCTTTTAAGCACCTTAGGAAAATATCATTAATTAGGCAGGGTTGGAAAGTTTTTGACAATTGTCAAAAATTATGAATCAAGCAAAACGAATGGCACTTTCATACGCTACGGACTGACAGTACGCTGAAATAGTTAGAGACTGAATCAATTGTGAAAACGTTGAATAGAACAATGTGAACTGTGTCTTTTTGCATAATTCGAAGTGAAAAATCAACATAGTAAAGGCAAAATTTAATTTTGAAAAAGGGAAAATTTAGCACTTTTTAAAAATACCCAATGAAAAAAGCACCTTTAAGGACTTTTAAAAAACAAAAATATGCACCTTTAAGAACTGTTTAAAAATGCTATGCACAATGTATTATTGTAAAAAATTAAGACATAATACTTGAGAATTTAACCTATTTGTGTCTACCGCCTTCACTTTTTCCATTCTTATAAACAACTTAACTGAAGAATTTATTTAAATTTTTTTAATGTATTGTGTAAGATAAACTGTACATCAAAAATAAACTTATACATATATATCTATTAACTTATGTGTCCTAATGTTATTTTACTCATACTTAAACTTCAAGCAAGTTATCAAAAGCGTACATAAACGTCAAACAAGTGAACAACAGTTATTATTCCTTTACTTTAAATGAGATTCTAACCTGTGCCATCTACCGAGGTAAACTCCCCTCAAAAACAATATTTTAAACTTTTAATTGGAATAAGAATATGTTAAAGAAACACTAACTTGAGCTATGTCTAACCGATGACAATCCAAAGCAGCTAGGCACACCTGTTCGAAAATTAACCATTCTGAAAAATAAATAAATTATTCATAGTTTAAAATCATATTTTAGCTTAAAAAATATGAATAACGAAACAAGTTTTTTTAATACTATATTAAATATCACATTAATTTTGATGTTTTTGTTATGCTACACAGTTGATTGATAATATATTTTTGAAACTAATTTTAGTAAAAATAGCACTGAGAACTTTTTTTCTAATTTATTTTCTATACAAAGAAATACCAGTAAAAACTATAAGTAAAGTTTATACCAAGCATTTCCAGAAAAATCATACAAATTTAGAAGCATATTTTAGAAATAGTAATTTAAAAACAAAACTAAAAAAAATAAATTAAAAGAACAATTAAGAGTGTAAATAATATTAATACAATGCAGGTATCTATACACAAGTGTATGAATGTATATAATTTAAATAAAGTGTTTCAAATTGTAAATGAAATAGACAAATTTTCACGATATTAAATTTTTCGTTTTCCTATGATTATGATGCATTATGAGTATTATTATGGGTAACTCCTACAATGACTCCAACTCTCTATATAATAATAATATATCTATAAATATAAGTTGCAACTCCTAATAGTTTTGCAGCAATAAGTTGCAACTTTCTATAATTGCAACTTGCTCTATCTACATATGTTCAATTGAAATAGATTTTGATAACTTAACTTGTTTGTTATAGCTTTCTAAAATTATTATACATTTTTAAAATAAAAATAGTTTTAAAAAAATAACAGAAAAAAATTTACAGAGTAGCTGAATATTTCCATTAAAAAAGAAAGAAATATCATTACTTTCGTCTCCAACTTTATGGGTGTAATTGATTAGTACATCTTGCCATAATTCAATAACTTCCTCTGAACATCTTATGTTATCATCTCGCCATTGCCTTAATTTGTCCCTCGCTTCTACAAATAAGAAAATAAAATTAGTTTTGACACTGACTTTATGGGTAAAAAACTGAGCAATCGATATTCACAGAAGAATATTAAATCACAGAGTATTATGTAATATCATATACACATGAGTATTAATTTATTCATATTATATTATTTTTAATGTAGAGTTTTTCTAACAGTTTTTTCCGCTTAAGAAATATTTCAGAATATTTAACAGTGTTTAAATATTTGTAAGGTGACCTTAAATTTCTGTTATAACAAATGTATTTAGAAAAAAGTTTATTTTTAGTTTTATATATACCTACTAAAATCAATTCTGGATTGACAGCAAGCAGTCTTCTTTTAGTAATTTTTTCTTAATTAACTATGAAATTAAAAATAACTTATAATTTAGGCTATAAAATAGAGGATAGGTAACTGAAACCTAGGGTAGGAATTTAAAAAAATTATCACTAATCCAAATGACCAACAACTAAAAAATAGTACTATACTATGCAAATTTTATTGGTCTTATATAATTATTATTGGTCTATCATAATTTTAAAAAAAAATAATTAAGTGAAAAAAAAAGACAATACAGAGAGTGTATAATGTCAAAATTGTGATGAAACATGCTATTTTGTGATAAAAAATACAGACAGGCTAAAACATTAAACAGAAAATCAAAAAATTGATACAACATACACTTTTTACATAAATTGTTGGTTCAGGGAACCATATATAATTATTCTTTGGTGATCTGCAACAAATTTAAGTGGCCTTGCACCAACAATCCACAATTTATTTTGAGCGATGATTAAAATAGAAGGATTATTACAATGATATTCAAGTGAGAGAAGAGAATAAAAAATATGAGCTAAATAAAGAGACCACATAAAATCAAAATTTTGTTGGCACACAAAAATAATATTTCTAACTGTGGATATCTAATTATATTTATGATTTAAATTTATTGGTTATCAGGTTACTTACCATATGTTACAAATGACTATTCGTAAAAGATTTAAGTACTAACCATTTAAGAATTCAGTGATCATTCTAGATAGAACAAGTAATAATTTAAATGTTTAACAACTTTTAGGATAAAAAAGCTTAACAGTATGAAAACAGCCATTAATATTTTACGAATGTAAACAGCCAATATTATTTTTAAAATGAATATGTAATTATAAAAATTATTGCTAACCTGCCTCAGAAATATTCTTAGAGAACAAATAAAATTTTTCCATGTTATGCTGCAGCATTACAAGGGCAAATTAGCAAGTGCTTGTCATTTACATACTTCACTTAGAAAATTAACAATCAATAAAGAGAGATTAAAATTTCTCAGTCATACAGATAATTTATTTATCTTTGAGATGCTTCTAAAAACAATTTCAATTATTTACCAGTAACACACATAGACTTAGGTGCATCTCCAGTAAGATTCATCAATGTGTCTTATCTTAGACTTAATTAATATTTAAAAAAAAAACTATGTAACATAATCCATGTAAAAACACAACCAAAAGTCACTTGGATTAAAGTCACTGGATTAAAAAATACAACGGTACACAAATAAAGAGTTTCAAAAGCAATTCCTTAAATTCAAAATTTATGCATCATAATTTTGTCTAATTAGATATCGAAATTTTTAAAACTTAGGATGGCAGCGGCTACATATCAAAAGCAGATTGTGCACTCCTATCATAATCTATTCTGGATAGTGCGTCCTCTGCACCGCAGAGGTGTTATTAATATCACTGATTATTACTTATTGAATCTAAATAAAAAGAAAAATTTAAAATTGTTTTATTTAAGCTTTACACAGAAAAGGAAAAAAAAATCATATTCTTAAATCTTTAAGATTTCGCTTTTTTAAAAGGAAATATTTATTAAATAATCCCAATTTTTTCTCATATGTCAAATTTAGTTCTTCTAATTTAGTGATAAAATATTTTTTCTCAGTTAGAGTAATAGAATTGTGTACGGAAACTAAAAAGGGTGGAACGCATCAATGTTTATATAACCAATATCATTTGACTATAGATCGATTATTGATTTTATAATATATTAACTTTCAATCAATTAATTTTTAACCAATATAACAGATAAAATAGAGATCTATGAAACTTTCAAACAACATGAAAGATTTTCAAAATCACCCTAATTACAACCTTAAGGCCATTCTTGATGATTTTAAGAAATCAAATTAAAGCAAACATATGATCACTTTAAAAACAGAATAGTTTGATGTTTAACTTAATACACAAAATCATTTCTACAATCTAATTAATAACACTTGACTAAAACGCACTAAGAAATAACAGAAAATATAACAAAACTATTGATGCGTTTCTAGGATAAATTTTAGATTGTAGAATGGAAAGCCAAGCATCCAAAAAATCAAAAGTATACAAATATTACACTTTAAATTATTCCGAAAGCAAATTAAATTACTTAATACCTTGCCAATCCATTGCTAATAGCTAATTTATTTTGAGAAACCGTAAAAAAAAACAACGAAAACGGAAATACTAATTTTAAGGTTGTGCTGTTCACATCCTTCTGCCTCCCATAAAATTACTTAAAAAGGCTCACCAGCTAGCTTGATAAATAAAAACTTGAGACATATGTATTTTCTTTAAGCAGAAAGAAGCAGTCGAAAGCGTTTTAGTGGAAAAAATGCAAACAAAACAAACTGCTAAGGTGATTGTAATTTGCAATTCAAGATTCACAAATTACAATATGTTATAAAATAGTTTTGAATGTATAAATTCCTTTTATCGTTAGTATTTCCTGTTGAAAAAGCATTTTTTTAAACTAACATTCTATTATTTAATGCAATGGGATCTTCGGAAAAATTTGAGTTTATTTGCACTGAGGATAATAAATATACTTGTACATTGTGTAATGCTGTTATTCCACATAAGGGATTATTAAACAGTCATGTTGATCTCCATAACAAGGAAAAACCTTTTGTTTGTAGTGTATGTAATAAGAGATTTAAACGAAAGGAATATTTATATTCGCACAGCATAACTCATACAGATGTAAAACCTTATTCTTGTAATTTGTGTGATAAAAATTTCACATTAAAATCTTCTTTGCGTGTTCACCAGTTTGTTCATTCTAAAGAAAAAAGATTTCCGTGCAATATGTGCAATAAATCCTTTTCTTTTAAGAATGCTTTAAATCGACATAGAGTTGTTCATTCTGATGACAAACCTTTTTCTTGCTCAATGTGTCATAAAAGGTATAAACTAGCTTTTCATTTGAATAGACATTGGAAAACTGCTCATAAAAAAGAAAGACCACATGCTTGTGATAAATGTGATAAAACTTTTCAATGTAGAAGCTCTCTAAAGGTTCATATGGGCGTTCATTCAGATGAAAAACCTTATTCGTGTGATTTATGCCAAAAAAGTTTTCGTTATGAAGGAAGTTTATCTCATCATAAAAAAACTCATGTCGAAGGAAAACCTTATTCTTGCACTGAGTGTGATAAGAAATATAAGCTAAAAAATCATTTGATTGTTCATTGGAAACGTGTCCATAAAAAAGAAAGACCATATGCTTGTAATATTTGTCACAAAAAGTTTCCTTGCAGAAACAGTTTAAAGAATCATTCTGTTGTCCATACAGACGTTAGACCTTATTCCTGTGGTATATGTTATAAAAGTTTTCGATTCAAAGGAAGTTTAAGAGCTCATCAAAGAGTTCATACTGGAGAAAAACCTTTTACTTGTAGTAAATGCGACAAAAGATTTAAAACTAAAGCAAATTTATTATCACATCAAATAATTCATACTGAAGAAAAACCTTTTTCTTGTAATGCATGCAACAAAGCATTTAGATTCAAGCAATCCTTAATGCATCATAAACGTGTACATCATAAAGAAGAATACTATTTAGAAAAATTACTTGATAAAAGTGTACGGGATACTCCGCATAAGCAAAGGAGACCAATCGTTGCCAAATGTATCAAAGAAAAAATTGACTCTAGCGATAGCACTCTGATACTTGCAGATTCTTTTGGCAGCAGTGACATTCTGGCACTTGCTCGGCTAGTTAATAAAAAACCTGATTCTAGTAATAATTGCAGTGAAAGTGTTACATTTGTCGAAGATTTGGATAGTTTAGAAGAGCTGGCGCATGTTGATGATATACATAAAAGTCCTGATTCTAGTAATTTTTGTAATAAAACTGTAACATTTGTGGATTCTTTAAATATTGTTAAAGAGAAGAAAACCACCACTAATAGTAAAAAAATACCTGACTCTGGTAATATCTGTCATGAGAATGGAAAAAGTGAATATTTTCTAGACAATGAGGGCAAGCTAGAGCTGCCTAACCATATCAATCAGAAACTTGATACTAGTTCCCTCTTCGAGGAAAGCGTAACACTTGTAGATTCTATAGTTAACAGTGGTGAGTTAGAAATTGCCACCCGTGTTATAGAAATGCCTGATTCTAGTAACTCTGGTGATCAAAACAAAACAGCTAATAATTCTCCTTGGAACAGCAAAGAATTATCTAACTTGACACAACATTTGAAGACACCAGCTGGCTATTTTAATGATTGTAGTAATCAAAGTATAACAACTGAAAACCTAAATCAAATCAAAAAAGAATTTTCTGATTTGTCTTTGGATGTGAAGAAGCCTGCTACTTTAACATCATCAAATTCAGCAAAACATACATCTAACCAATTGAATAGTCAATCAACTAAGCCTGTAATTAGGGATTTTAAGTTCATTGAAACTAAAGAGAAAACCTATATTTGCACTTTATGTAATGAAACTATTTTAGATAGAGAGTCTTTAAGCAAGCATGTAGATGTCCATAAAAGTAAGGTAAAATCTTCCAATTTAATTCACCTAAAGAAGCAAGCTGGCCCTACATCATCAGTTTCCACTATTCATACCACCAGCCCATTGAAGGATCAATCAATTAAACCTGTAGTAAAAAATTTTACATTTTTTTACACTAAGGAGAAAACTTATACTTGCTCTTTGTGTAATGAAACTATTTTACATCAAGATTATTTGAGTTCACATGTAGCTGTTCACAGAAATAAGGTAGAATCTTCACATTTGGAAATGCCACCTAGTGCTACAGAATCAGTTTCAACTGAGCAGACCGCCAATCTTTCAGATAATCAACTAATTTCACCTGAACATCTTAAGACGACAGCTTGTACAACACCATCAAATTCAACAGTGCAAACCACTTGTTTAAATGAACAATTAATTTTGCCAGAACATAATGAAATGCTAACTAATACTAGTTTATCTAATTCCACTGTGCAAATCAGCAACCCATCAGATGCCCAAACAAATTCTGGAACTTCAGAAACACCAGCTAGCACACCATCATCAGTTTCCACTGTGCAGACCACCACTTTAAATAAGATATCAGCTTTATCAGGACATAAAAACATATTAACTAGTACTACACCATCAGTTTTCACTGTGCGGACTACCAGCACTTTAGACGATCAACCAATTACATGTGGTTACTTGGAAGTGCCTGCTAGTGCTGGATTTTCTGTTTCTGAAGTGCAGACTGCCACTTCAAATGAACTATCAAGTTTGCCACATCAGAAAATAACAAATAGTACCACAACACCCATTTATACAATGCAGCACAAGGGCTCGCTAAACAATCTGTTAAAAGAGTCTACAGTAAAGGAATTTAAGTTTATTCATACTAAAGAGGACAATTATATTTGTACTTTGTGTAAAAGAACCATAATGAATAGGAAATCTTTAAGCAGGCACGTAATTCAGTCTCACAGTAAACGGAATGCTTTGTATCCGTGTAAGTTATGTTATAAGATTTATAACTATAGATATAGCTTACATAGACATATAGTAATAAAGCATAAGGAACAAAAATCATTCTTTTGTGATGCATGTAAAAAAAGATTTGTATTTGAAGATTGTTTCAACAAACACAAGTGCATTAAGGCTGATATAAAAATTCGTTATTCTTGTAATTCGTGTAATAAAAGTTTTAATGAAAAATACAAATTGAATGCCCATAAGGCAGTCCATTCTGATGAGAAGCCCTATTCTTGCAGTTCATGTGATAAAACTTTTAAATGGAAGCATAGTATAAAAAAACATTTCAAAATCTATCATACAAACAGGCCTGCAAAAATCAAACAAAGAGTTTCTTGCATGTGGTGTGAGAAAACCTTTCCATATAAAAGTGCTCTAAGAAGTCACGCAGTGATGCATACAAATAATAAGCCTTATTCATGTGACATTTGTGCGAAAAGCTTTAAAAGAAAAACTCAACTAAATGCCCATATTCAATCTCATTCTGGAGAAAAACCTTACTCTTGCAGTACTTGCAATCAGAGGTTTACTCGAAAACAATCTTTAAAAAGACATGGTCGAATTCATCTTAAAAAATTGTTCTCTACTTTTTTGGATTAGCTTTATATATTCATAAATATTTTTTCCAGGAATATGCATATAGTCTTCTTCCACCAGCATTACTGCACCGTCCCAACTAGTCATTTTCATCTGGCTCAATCAGACAATATGTTTCTCCCTCCATAAATTCCCATGGTTTTTAGATCTTTTACAACAAAATCAATCTATCTGGTGTTTTGGTTTTTCCCTTTTGTGGTTGCCAGTAAACTTTCCCCAAAGTGAGCTTTTTAAATGGTTCACCATCATCTTCTCTATAGATGTCACCCAGCCATCTTATTTTATAGAATTTCATAACTGAAATTAAGTTTAGTTGCTTATACTTTTTGGATAATTCATAATTGTGCTGTATATCATTTACTTTATCCAACCATCATATCATTATATCAAAATCATTTACTTTAACAGCTCCAAGGATGGCTCTGAGTATTTTTCTTTCAAAACTTCGTAGTTTATTTTCGTAAGTTTTATTCAAGGCCAGCATTCGCTCCTATAAAGTAATACAAGTTTCATTGGAGTATTATATAGATTAATTTTAATGGAAATAAGCTTTGATTTCGCAATTCAAAATAACACCTATTAGCCATCGTTATTCATTTCTGTTTTGATATCATTATTAACCAATATTCATAGCTAATTTTTGTATTAAAATGTTTGTTGACAAAAAACTATCAATCCCCAATTATAACTTCAGAAATCCGGACTTCTAAATTCCAGAAACCACCAAAATCAAGAATTTTTTTCCCTATAAGCTAATTTTTTTTTTTAGTTATATCAATTGTAAATTTAAGGAAAGATGTCGGAATTTGTGTTTCTTAATAACATCACAATAAAAATAATAGACTTTGAAGATCTGGAAATCCATGGCATAAAAAGCTATCAACAAAACTCCTGAATTTATTATACAATCCTTTTAATCTAATGTGTGTCTGCTTTATGTAATCCTTGTACTAATACTCAACTATTAAAAACATTGAGATTTAAAAAAGTCTAAAACTATTGGGAAAAAGGATTGATAAGGTAATGTGAATTAACAGTGAAATTTTCACAAATATTGTGCTTTGTAAAAAAAGAAATTACTTAAATGCATTATTCAGAATTCATGTGCTATAATTATGTAAAAAAACATGCAAATTTAAGATGAAATTAGGCAAATCAAATAATGATTGCTTATATGTGTTATTCAAAATTCATGTATTCTATTAGAATGATTTTTCAAAACTATGTGAATTTGCAATTTAATCGTTGCAAATTGAACATTTAAAAAAAGAGAGATTGCTGAATAGGGTTTTGTGTTTTTCCGCACATTCATAATGACTTATTAAAATATCAAGATTTTAAAAACTATGCAAATAATTATTGAATGCCTACCCAAAAAATTACTGACAGATTACTGACAGCCTAGATTTTGATTGTCTAAAAAAATCATATAAATGCCCTATTATTTAATTAAAAATATTAAACTAAAACAATGACAATGTTTTCCTCTTAAAATTTTCTTTATGTCAAAAAATATTGCAATGAAAAAAGAAAAAGAAAATGTATTGATGTCCTGAACATAATTTTAAAGAAAGTATCCTAATAATAGCAGAACAGCAGAAACCTCTCTCAAACCCGCAAAGTTTGGCCCCCTTCAGTTCCTGGAAATCTGATAATTCAATAACTGTAACTAGAAAGTATTTTGGAGTCCGGGACCACTGCCCCAATGATTGTTATGTACTTTCACTCCAAAACATTAAAAAATGTTCTAAAATGCAAAAACTGCTCATAAATTGGTTTGAGCCCCAAAATTGAAAAAATACCTTAAAAGTATTAAAAAAAAAAAAAAAGGGTCACAAAAGGAAAAAAAAATTTCGAAAAAGTGCAACAGCCAACAAAATCTCATCCTTAATGATTAGTTTAACTAAGATATATATAAGATATATTCTGTCAAATTCAGTCGAAAATATATGTTTTAAACTATAATTTCAATTAATAATTTTACATGGCTTAATCCAATATTTGAGTGAAATCGGTCGAATCGTTATTAAGGATTCCATTTCTAAAAGTACGACTTTTTAAGAAAAAAAATGCAGAAAATTACAGCTATTTTAGGAGTCCGAAAAAAAGATCTGTTTGTTCTGAGAAAGTATGTTTTTGTGTCTGATTTCGTAACTTAAAATATCATCTATACCAATTAATTACCATATTTGAGGTCATCCCCTTGAACCATTAAGATTGAGTCCTAGAACGTGAAGATGCAATAATTAGTTCAAAAGTTATTCAGGATAGTCCATTTTTTCTGCACTGTACAATCTTTTTTGACAAAGGGCCATGCGAGAAAAAGACTGCAATAAATTTTTTTTTTAACAATTAATAAATTATTTAAATACTCCTAGTAAAACAAGAAAAATTATCAAATTTTCTTATAATTTAAAATGCTACAGCAAATTGTATATAATCTTTGCAAATTGTAAATAATATTATTGACTAGAGTGATTTTTTGGGGATAAAACTTTCTGACCAGAAAGACTAGTTTTTTGTTACTTTTTACTGTGCATAAATTACTTGCAGCTTCAATTTTTAAATGAATTCTTAAATTGAATTAAACATGTTTTAAAAATAAGTCATTTTTCTAAAAGTAATTTATTTTAAAGAAACACTTGTCAGACATTGTTATTTTTTAACACCTTGAAATAGAACCTTTACATTTTAGAATTTTGGTGTTAAGATATGGGCATTTCTACAAAGTTTAATGAAATTACTCTGAAAACAGTTACAAAACTTATTATGCTAGTTTCATAGTATTATAATAAACTGCATTTCCGTCCTTGGTTAACCTTTAAGAAATAATTATTTGCAAATGAAAAATTTTTTTTTAACTCCTTTGAAATTAACAAACAATTAATGATATTAAAATGTCACATTTTTGTTTGTTTGTTAATATGTGAGAAAGATTTTATCTGTTTTGTATTGTTTTTAGAGATTTATAGACAACTCCTTGATTATTAAAATGTCTTCAATTTATGTCCAAATAATAAAATAAAAATGTACGGAGAAAACTTAAATTATCAGCGATGCCAACTATTAGGAATTATCTGTAATTATAATAATTGCACAGTCAAGATTATGGTTGATTAATAACTAGAGCCCGGATTTTGATGACCTAAAAAATCTCAACTAATGCCCTTAAAAAGTGCAAAAAATGCCCTTAAAAATGCAAAAATTGCTCAAAAAATGCCTTAAATAAAGCAAAAATATTGAATTAAAAAAATATTTCGGTCTTTAAAATTATTATGAGTTATTTAAAAAATATAAAGCAATGCAATACTTGTTCTACGTTCATTAAAGTTTGAAAAATATGTTTTATATCCTAAAATAACAAAAAAAGGAAAATATATTGACACCAAAATGTATTTTTATTTTGTATAGAAACTTTAATGGATATAACAACCTCCAACTCATAAAATTACTAAATATCAGAATTACATTGGATTATTAAATGTTTTTTGATAATTTGAAATGTAAGCGAGCGTCTCTTGTCTGAAAGTAAATTTTCATTCCTGCAGAAGCTTCTTTCAACGTCTACTGATGCTATAGGTTCGTACTTTAAAAAGACGGTCTCACTTACTTACAATTCTTCTTCAATTTGAAAAGATTTTGCTTCACCTGTTAATATTCCATAGATTTTCTTCATTGTTTGGAAGCCAGTGTAATAATGAAAATTGATAAAAAATAGTAAAAATTGGAAAAAATTAACAAAAAACTTTAAAAAATGCATTAACATGCAAAATACGCCCCAAAATTTAAAGAAAAATGCCCTATAAATCTAAAAAAATCTAAAAGACAAAAAATGTTCAAAAATGCAAATGTCATCAAAATCCGGGCCTTATTAATAACAATTACGGTTTTTGAGAATTTCATAATAATTTACTTAAATTTTTTTTATCCCCCCCCCCTTTAACTACTAAGAGTTATGAAATTTTGTTTTTGCAGTGTATTCTAAAAAGAAAGCAACACATAAGTGTTACTTTTTTTGTTGAATAGTTTATTATTTTATTTGTTATTCATACATAATATTATATTTATATTAGGTATATACAATTAAGTTGTAAAAAATTGACATTTTATGTATGATTGTACTTCTGATTATGGATAACAAGTTTACAAAATTTGGCACCTCTGCATTGCATTCATACCAACCAATTTATTCTTTTATTATAATTATTCTCCAACATTGCAGAGGGATAGGAAAATTTTAGCTTTAACATTTTATTTTTGATTTAACATATTAATTTTGAATTATGTGGACTACTATAGCACATAAATAATTCATATATGCATAAATAATTCATACTTCCTAATCACTATAGCATTACTTTTAAGGTTAGGCAAATTTTTAAAAATCAACATATTACTTAATTATTTCTTTACCTCTTAAATATTGTGGTAAACTTTTAGTGCAATAAAAAGTTTTAAAAAAATCATTTTAAAAGTACGTTTGAAATCCTGTTTCTGTTCTATGTTAAAATGGGCATTGCACAGTTAACTTAAAACTAATGTCTTAAAAGTCTGAAATTTGACAACAACTTTAATTGTTAATTGGATTATCTAGTTACTGATATTCTAAGTATTAGTTTATTTGCTTAGCTTTAGTCAATACCCATTAATTTTTGATTAATAAGTGCTTTATATGAATGAGAAAAAGAATGTTTGGGTAGATCACAACACTGTTTGTCAAAAGCTCATTAAAAGTGTAAAAATCCATTTGTTGTGAGATGTGTCAAACATACTAAGTTTTTGTGTGTTTGAAATTTTTGTTTAAAAAAAATGTATATTGTAAACATGTATTGTATTTTGTAAAAAGAAAAAGTATTTTATGTCTGCCAAAATTACTCTGTTATATGCTTAATAAAATATTTTATGTTATCTGCTTGGAAGAATATCTAAATTTCAACTGACTTTTCTTTTATCTCTATTTTATATATCTTTATGTGACATTGAGAGGTTACATTGAGTGAAAACAGAGTTGTGATTGTTTACGACTTGTTTCTTTAACTAGCCTGATTGATTTTATAAATAAATTAAATCATATATTGTTACTTTTGAATACAAACTTTCCATTTTCAGGACAATCTACTATCAATAGAGTTAGTAAGAGAATAAATGTGTATAATTATTTACATAAAAGTCTTCTGTCTGATACAACAAGAAATGCAGGTTACTTCAAGCAGAGATAGCAAGTGTTTTTCCACTGTGGAAAAAAGAAAAAATGCTTCTTTCAATCCAAGTAAGAAGAAACTTTTCTTAATAAATATCAAATATGAAAAAAAAAAATTTATGCAGTTTATAACTAACTGCAATCAATTTAATGAATGGTATTAGTTTCCAATTTATAAGTTTCAATTATAAAACAAAAATAAAGTATAACAATTGGGGGGAGATTAATTAATTTCTAAAGAAATTAGTAGTTTCTTTCAATGTTTTATGTAGTGTAGTAGTCCTGGAAAGAACCATCTTTTTGCAATCTTTTTTCTCTTTCTTTCCATAATTATGTTAAGATCTATGTACTATTATTGCTACGAGTTTGCTGTCTATCTAAATCTTTTTATGTTATATATTCTAGTTATGTATTTTTTTAAAAATAATTTTTAACTTCAATAGGAAGTAAAAAAGTTTTATATTTATGAATAGGACTTAACTGAAAAATGATGCCATTAGTTTTAAAAATTAAATAAGTTTTATAAAAATAGTTTGTAAAAAGTCAGGGATTTTTTATTCTAAGTGTATGCGACTGCCTTGAATATTTTTGCATATATATCAGATGACAAAAAAGAAATGGGGAAAAAAAATCGAACATTGGATTTCTATTCCACACCACCAATGAAAACCATTTTCTTAATTAAATAAATATAGAATAGCATTTTTTTTAAAAAAAAGTTTAATCGTCCAAAACAAACTAAAATTTAATTCTCTTCATAACTGCCTTATTCATTTTCTGTACTAGATGAAAGTGTTTATATTTATGTGGAATACAGATCCGATCCACGAAGCGACCATCTCTATCACGTGACATCAAGGACACTTACCTCTACATTTACTCTTCCTTTACAGTTACACCATGGAGTTGGAATGACTGGCTCGAGGAGGATGCCAGTGGAAATTGTAGCTTATCAGATTATTTTGTTATAATATATTTTTATTAAGTTTAACACGTCTTCTTTATTTTTGAGAAACCCTCGCTTCACCCCCTTTATCCTACAAATGGGGGCTCGTCCACGGGAATGTGAATTGCGATTTGGGCAATAACTTTTCATTTTTCAACGATTATAGCCAACGAGTCAAGGTTGAGCTATTACAAACTATTTGAGCCGAGCAGGGCCAAAATTAATCCATTCTACAACGTCGATTACGTCGCGTAGGACGATAATCACTAAAAATTACTTCCTTACAAAAAAAAAAAAAAAACGCTGAGCATTGCGTAAAAAAAAACTGTGGACCAAAAACTGTGACAACGAATCCATTTTCAAGTGCCGGGCAGGGTTGACTTGAATGAGAAACTACAACTGCTAGAAACGCTGTGAAGTTCCTGGAAACAACTAAATTTGCTGTGGAAATTGCCGGAAACTACTAGAATCGCCATCGAAGTTGCTGGAAACAACTAGAATCGTCATCGAAGTTGCTGGAAAGTACTAAAATCACCATCGAAGTTGCTTGAAACTACCGCATATCTTCAACTAATACAGAGTTCATGCCTGAATTGATAGTTGCACCAGTGCTACCGGATACCAAAAATTTTATCTGCAAAGAAACCTTTGAAGTAGGTGACTCTTTATTTTTTTTCTTCTTTTTGTGAACTTCAAAATGTACAAATCAACAAAAACAGATCTAATAACATTAACCCAAGAACTAAATATCCCCACTCCTTCTAACGCTACAGTAACCGAACTAAAAACTATAATTGAAAATTCAGACGAATATAAAAAAGACCCGAACACAGTAAAGGAACTATTAGACGAAATTATAAACGCAAAGAAATTAATAGCTGACGAAGAATTAATAATGCAACAACTTAATTTAGAACTAGAAAAAGTAAAATTAGCTAGAATAGAAAAAGAAATTCAACTTGAATCACTTAGTCAAAATGAGCAAAACATGAGTGTAAAAAGCAGTTCTGATTTAACGAATCCGCATCAAGATTTAGAATCACTTATTAAAAGCATACGAACCTTAACAGTAACTGTTCCGAGAAATCCTGAAAATCTTAGCTTATTCTTTAATTCTTTGGAGCGAGCATTCAAAACCAAAAAAGTAAAAGATGAACTTAAATCCGAAATTCTCATAGCAATTTTGCAAGAAAAAGCAAACAAAGCGCTTTTATACGTGGAAGAGGAATTAAAAAATTACCAAAAACTTAAATCATTAATCTTAAGAGAAAACCAAATAACCCCTCAACAGTGTCTATTTAATTTTCGTCACCAAAGAAAAAATTTTGATGAATCACACATTCAATTCGCAACACGAATTCGTTCAACTTTTGAGTATTATTTACGTCTGAGAGAAGTAAATGACTTTAAAACATTATGTGATTTAATCATTTCGGATAAAATATATGAAACACTAGACAGAGACACATCCGCCCATATTGGCGTAAGACAGGCTAATGGTTGGTTCAAGCCTCTCGAATTAGCACAAGAATGCGATATTTACTTTACGGCAAAAAGAAAATCGCAAAATGAACAGCAGTCAACATTCTACCATACAGAAAATCAACATCGATATAGGAGCACTTTTCATTCTCCTAAAAACACTCATCAAGAAAAATATAGGGCAAACACTTTTAAACGAACAGATAAATTGCCAGACACTAGAAACTGCTACATTTGCGGTGCGAATTCACATTTCGCGAAAAATTGCAATATGAAGTTTAAAGAAACTCAAAACCAAACTAATCCTTCACAAATTAATGCAAATCAGATTAATCAAATCGAAAGTAAAAACTCTATCAACGAACAATGTGTAAATAATTTGGAATTTATTGAATTAAACGTTAATGAACGAAAAATTGATTGTTTAGTAGATTCGGGTTCACGCATTTGTGTTATAAATAGTAAATATGTAAATTTGAAAGATCGTATCCCAGAAAGTTCAATTGAATTAAAAAGTTGTTTTGGAGAGATAATTAAAGCGAAAACTTATTCTCTTACGATTTCACTCCCAAGTCAAAACATCATTAAACGTGAATTATGCATCCCGTTCGCAGTAACCGATAAACTTTATATGAATTGCGTCATAATTCCTCAAGTAAAAGCTCTTCTTTTCGAGTGTCAAATTTCAGATTCGCCAGATGTTAAATTCAAAACAACTTCGAACACTTCGAATAAAAAAATAAATGATCAAAATGCTTATGCAGGAGATTTATTGCAAAAGGAAAATTCTCAATCTAAATGTTTACTTTTGAACAAGAAAAACGATCTGTGTTTAAATGATTCCTTGTCTTTTGATAATTCTTTATTATGTGACACTTTGCATGATGATAAAAACTTTTTATTTGAATTTCATGATGATATTTTTAATTGTTTTCAATTGAATATAAATGATATAAATACTATGCACTTAAATCATATCAAAAATGAGCATGTTAAACAGGGTGTATTTAATCTTATCCAAAACTATAAGCCTCACAAAGTGAAAACAAGTAATTTAGAAATGAATATAATTTTAACAGACGATACACCAATTTACTGTAAACCTCGTCGATTACCATATGTTGAAAAACAAATAGTTGATTCCCAAATAAAGGAATGGTTATCAAAAGGTATTATTAAACCTAGTAATTCAGATTTTGCTTCCCCTATTGTTTTGTGTAAGAAGAAAAATGGTACTATGCGTCTTTGCGTGGATTATCGTAAGTTAAACAAAAAGACAATTAAGGATAGATTCCCCCTTCCTGTCTTAGATG